TGTGGCATAATAAAAGCTCCGCTGCTTTCGAGCCGTGTGTCACTCTCGTCTCTCATTAGCAATTGCTTCAGCGGCCTTGTTTCACTTCAACGGCTTTCCGCCTCACTCTGCTTCATACTACGATGTTAATAAATCTTTAATACATTAGCTTATCCATGAACATGATTTGAATTCTTGGTGAAATATTTAAGTGATTTTTTTTGCCAATGAAAGACTGTGTAGCACATCTCGAATGTGATTTTATCTATTTGTTTACTGTAGAATGATGTGAATGTCAGAAACAGTTATGATCTGACGTGATGTTACTGTATCTAACAGGTGATTGTGACGCAGCAAAACTCTCCTGTTAATGTTTCTAATATTTCCACACATTCGGTAAATGCTGTGATGAATTATTCTTTGTTTGAAGTATTATTCATTTTGTTTTTTCTCAGTGTACTGCCTGGGTTGTGTTTTATTTGGTTCTTTTGTTTATTAGCCATGTGTCCATACTGTAAGTGTATCTTGCTTTCAAAATGAAGCTGTTGTGTAAAAGCTCCGCTTATTATTATTTTATTTATTTTTTTATTAAGTACAAAATCTGAATACAACAAACTGGCATTAATTAGTATACAAAAAAGATTCTGGTATGGAAGGCTCAACACAATAGAATCATAATAAGCTCCAGACAAATCATTTAACAAAACATTCCAAGAAACATAAAATATAAAATAAAAATAAATTAAATAATAAAAAATACATAATTACAACAAATTATATAATACAAACAAATTAAGTAGTTTTACTGCTTTTGGATTTTTCATTTTACTAAGGGCATCTGAGAAGTATTTTAGATCAATTTTAAATACAATAAGCAAAGGAGGGGATTTAAAATATCTACATTTATGTATAAAGTATTTTGCTAATAATATAATATTATGAATCAAATCGTACAAAACAGAGCACTCTTTGGTTATTCCGTACATTACATCTTGTAAGGTTAGAGTGAAACCATCAGCAATCACACCCTTCTCTACCATCCAGTCCTGCAATGCTTTCCAAAAAGACTGCGACAAACTACATGTAAAAAATACATGTTCTGTATCTTCAACTAAATATTTGCATAAATAACAGGGCTCATTTTCAAAATTAAATTTTGAATGTAGAAATTTATTGGAGGGATATATCTCATTTAATATTTTAAATTGCATTTCTTTTACCTTGGGGAGAATAGGAAATTTTAGATAAGCTGTTCTGAAATATTTAACAGTGTTTTTATCAAATGTATGATCTAATTTATTTCTTAATATTTGACAAGGGTAGCATGACTGGATGATATATTGTCTTATATATTTGTTAGTGCGGAGCTTGTTTTCTATCTCAATATCACCAACATATAACAAAGGAAGGACTGCAGTAATTTTTGAGTAGGAAAGAGAACATCTCATTAACATTTTTACACCTGAGGGTATTGCATTAATAACAGTAAAGAATTGCTTTGGATGACAGGCAAATCCGTGTTTTAAAGTAAATGCATTGTAATTTAACATATTACCAGTCTCATCCATTAGATCCAACACTGACCAAATATTTCTATTTACCCAGTCCTCATAAAAAACGGATTTGTTTCTGTGAAGAATATATTTGTTATTCCATATAGGAGTATTGTGGGGTGTAAAATTGTGTGTGTATGCCAATTTCCAGCATAATAAGACTTGTTGGTGGAATGCTGATAGCTTCACTGGAAGTTTGGATAAATCAAAGTCACATTTGAGAAGGAAGCGGATACCACCCAATTTACGAAACAAAGCTGAAGGCACTGCATACCAAAAGCTCTCAATATTACCTAAAAACATTTGAAGCCACTTAAGTTTTAACACAGTATTCATACTCTCAAATTCAATTACATACAGACCACCTTCTTCGTACCCTTTGATAATATCAGATTTTCTAATATAATGAGTTTTGTGCCTCCAAATAAAGTCATACATTTTTTTATTGCTTGTTTTTATAATAACTGAAGAGGGAGCTAAAGAAAAAGCTGGATAGATCATTCTAGATAGATATTCAACTTTAGATAGAAGAATTCTCCCCTGAAAATAGACACATCTCCTTGTAACCAGCTATTCAAGATACCATTGGCTTTTTGCATTTTATTTTCAAAATGTTCTTTCATACTAATCTTCAAATCTTTGGAAATAGAAATGCCTAGATATTTCACCGTCTCTTTAACTGGAATGTTATACAAGGACAAATCTTGAATGGGGTGTAGGAGTGACTGTACTATGAAGACGACAACTCCCATGATTCCACACTCAGTCATGGCGTCATCAAACTACGCCTTTGTTTGATTTGAATACGCCCCCTCTAGCGGTGAAAACTTACATATTGCACCTTTAAGCGAAATCAAGGAGTTTATAAGACTGGTTTATTCATTTTGTATACTGTACTAGCAATTTGCTGCATTAGTTCAGTGTTTTTTGGAGACAATCTTTCCTGACAGTGCCTTTCGGTTCTTGCCCACTATTCTTAAAGTTATCAATATAGAGACTGTTGTTCTAAGCGAAACTACTTTGTTTGGCCTTCCAAAAGAGGACATAATATTGCGCTGGTGAGATATGACTGTATTCCAGCCCCCTAGATGTTTCTGGTTTTGGGGAAACATCAGATGTTTGACAACCACAGAGGGATGGTCACATCCCTCCAAGTAGACTCGTAATATTTCACCATAACTGCTCCGCAAAGTCTGAATCTTTGCACCAATCTGCAGAGACTTTGCTCCAGTTGCTTTCAAAACGAGGTCTTCGTGTTCCTGCTTCATTCTGGAGATTGAAATGAGCAGAACAGTTGGTTTGTATTATAATGCTTCACCTAGCGCCAAATTACACGTAAGAGGTACTTATTAGTAGGCCTACTGGAATAAATGCCAGATATAAACAAATTCACTTTCAATTTTTGGCTCGAATTGACAACTGAGATAAGTTAGGAAAAGTCTCAATAAAACGATATCTTGGTTACAGCTTGATCATTGAATGAATAAACATAAATGTCAAAATAAACACAAATGAATGCAAATCAGTTAAAAGACAAAGTTTTGTCGTATCTCAAAGAGCAGACGAGGAATCGTAAAATTAGCTGCTGTTGAATTTACAGTACACCCATGTTTACATTTACCGTACGTGTCTTGAAGCGAAACGTGTTCGGCAAAAGCAAAAGATTGCGAGAATGAGGGTTCATCGGTACACGGAACAATGCATTCTGGGAACTGTAGTCTTTGGATGAATGAATTGAACCTCTAGCTATTATTTTGCCTATTGTATTCTCATTATTATTTCTCAGAAAAGATAATTAATTACCACAAGGAAATTGATTTATTTGTTCATAGTGTGCTGTGGATAGTTACTGAAGGGAGAAACAAAATATGTCTAACTATAATTTTATTAAGCCTTCTGAGTGGCAATGATGAGTGTTCTACACGACGTTTTACGATCGTCGATGACCTGGAATGCTGGGAATCCTTTAAAAGCGGAGTAAGAAAACATAATCGTTTTGAGAAATTCAGAGTTTTAATGAAGCTAAATAACATAATAATATAATGGCTTTTAGAGTCAATATGATTAGCGCTAGAATAACAAAATTCTGGCTGCTGCCCTTTGTCATATCTTAGCAAACAAACACTCTTTGTATTTGTTCTGTTTAGAAAAAGAGCAGAAGATGGAGAGTCTGGTGAAATCGAATGAGAGATGAAAACACTGAATACAGAGAATAGCCTATATCCATAGCATTATATGCGTTTCAGTTCATCAGTGGAGCATCACAGTTTATCAGGTGAGCACAAATGATAACACATTCCAGTGGGTTGTTAAGCACCATCAATCATCTCTTGGTCTTGGTTATATTGGGGGGCATTTTCTACACCCAACTTTAACCAGTGGATGAATGAGGTTAAAATTTTGTGCAAATCTTTAGGATTGGTTAAAAACAAGAAAGCTGTCAAATTGATTTTGTTTTTGGGGCATGTATAAACTAATGTAAAAAGCCCCATTTGGTTTGGTTTGTTTTATTTGTTCTATTTATTTCTTTTCTTTTCTTCTTTATTATTGGTTTATTGTGATCTTGTTTGTCACTGGTTATGCTCAACCTAAGGCTGTTCACGTGTTGTTAGATTCTGTGATGTGTTTATGTACCTTGTTTGTTTGTTGTAAATGCAAGCATAATAAAAAAAAAAAATTGGGGGGCATTTTCTAAAGGTCGACCCTCCACTAGGGGTCAGTCTGGGCCTTAGTATTTCTACGCAGCATTCTTCTCTTATCTTTACACCCTCATGTTTGTATTGTGGAATAGAATTTATTACATTAAAACTTTGAGAACTCTGCAAAGTATCTGTTTAAAAAAATAGATGATCTTGACTTATAGTGTTATATTTTTGTGTTACTAATAACTAAGCAGTTATTTTATTTTAGAACACACACATATATTTAGATACAGGTTTATAGTGAGTTGTATTATAATAGTTTTATTATAATGAAGTGTTCACATCTTGTTTGACATATTTTTACATTTTGCAAGATACCCCCTTTAAGAACAAAAAAAATCAATAATTTCTCTACATTTCCTACAGCTGTCTTACATTACAAAAAGTGTGGCCCATATTGGCCATTGTCAAGTTTTCTTTGAATAAAAATCATTTACATCTGTTTTTTTTTTGTGTGTGTGTATTTTTTTCTTTGGTATCTCGTAATATCAATTGGAAGAGCAAATATTGCGATAACAGCTAACAAGAAAAAACAAGAATTAAGATAACATTTTATACTCTAGTTCTGTTTGGTATTCAGTATTGAAACTTTGATTACAGGTTACATTAATACTTTTCAATAATAATTATTACATTTAAAAAATAAGTGCTTCTCAATCCAGTGGTGATCCATACACTTCAACCTCACACAGTGTAAGATATTCTTGCCGTCCAGGAATAACAACATTAATGTAACGTCCTTCCATCCCATCACATTCAAAGGTGGAGGAAAAACCAGGAGGAATGGAAGAGATCACAGCACACCTGAAGAAAAGGAGAGGTAAGCATCTTAAGAAACTCTGAACTACCGTCCATGTCCAATGCAAAACACATAGCCTACTGCAGTAAATTCTCAATGTATTTCAAGAAAATTATTAAATGGTTAGTTCTAGTCCTCGGTTCTGATTGGTCAGCGGCTGTGTTTTATTCACGATAAAGCACGACTACGACCGCTTCACTCAACTGTTCTGTGTATCACTGCGCAACAACCTTAGCAACATAATCAATAATATAGTGTCACAACTGTTCCATGTATAATGTATTTCAGAAAAATTAACTGTTTGTTATTCATTTAATGAAGCATGTGTGAGTATTCTCTTGCTGTTTAATGCTACTGTCAGGAACTATTTTTGGTTTTATTATTGCTTATTGTGTGGTAACTGTTTAAGAAGAGCAATAATGTATTTGAGGCGTGCTGTAGTATATACAATATTAGCACGCCTACAAAAACCTTATTGCTTACATAAAGAGATTTATAGCTGAATTCACTTACCTGGGATTGTTATTGCCGTTGTTGTCCAGACTGTTCCCAATTCTGATTTCTGCCCCATTTAATCTTTCAGAAAAGCCATCTTCTCTGTTTGTTATTACTACTGAAAACACTTTGTGCCTTTTTAGTAGGTCCAGTCTCCACCAGGGATTGAGTTTTTTTTGGGTGAGGGTACAGGATCCATGATTGTAATCACCATCTTTGTTCCCATCAGTGGCATTGGATGCAAAACCGTTTTCAAGGACGTTTTTTTGTGTAGCTTTCCCTTTTAAAGCCACATTTTCACCTAAAACAACAGATGAGTTCCAAGTGAATTCATGGTTTTGAATAAAGAACTTGCCTTTCAGTCTAGGAACGAAATATATGGCTACAACATTGTTGAATCTAAATTATAGCTTTATTGAATTTCTGCTGTTTTTGAATTTTTGTCCCTCTTTTGATTAATTACTTTTATCAGAGTCATACTGTTTAAATCCACATCATAAATGTTCATATTCTCACCATCAGGAGCTGGATAACCATAAACCTCGACCTCGCAGAGGGTAAGAAGTCGATTAGATCCAGGTATGACCACATTGATGTAACGGCCTGGAATGCCTTTCTTCCATTTGAAAGTGAGGGATCTCCCACCTGGAATGGATGAAATCTTTCCAGCCCTGTATTAAAACAACAGCAGATGAACAGTGTGTGATCGTGTGTATGTAACCTCATCACATTGTTCTTTTAAAATAGTTGTAGTGTAGTTTTCTTACAAAGGATTGCTGTTGCCGTTGTTCAGCAGAGAGTTCCCAATGTGTATCTCAGCTCCATCAAGCCGTTCAAGGACAGCAGTCTTTTCGGTTGGTGATAGTTATGGAGGTCACTACATACTTGTCTAGTAAGTCTAACCTCCACCATGGGTCATTTTGCATTGTAGTAGCAGTACAGGATCCATGATCATAATGTGAGTCATGATTTCCATCAATAGCATTACTGGCATGGCCATCTGCTGACCAAGGATTCTCAACCAGGTCTGAATGTGTGGCCTTGCCATATAAAGCAAGATTTCTGGCTGAAATTGATAAAGCATTATATTCAGTATGTATTATAAAACAAGTATATGAATAAGTCAAAATTAAAAAGGCATTTGACAATATAATATTTCACTTTTGACAGTGATTATTTCACAGGGATTTATTTATTTGTTTGCTTGCTTGCTTGCCAGTAAATATTTGTAAAGATAAATACTAAGTTTATACAAAAGGCAACAAGTACATTTCCACCATTATTGCCAAGAAGAAACACCTGTTCAAGACAGTTCTTTTGGGACAATATTCCCCTCTACGGAGTATTTTTGAAATATAAAAACCATCTTTCACAACATATCGCTGTTATAAGCTAATTAAGGCATTTTCAGAAAGATTTTTAAGAAATTACGAATAATTCATAAAGCTTAACATAAAAATTAACAATAAACAGTTTAAAAAAAAGTTCATAGGTGACAACTTGCTCTCATAAAAATGTGATTTGCAGTAAAATGTTACAACCAGTGTCTAATGTATTTTGAGTGTTTCTTTATAATTAAAAATATCTGCAATTTTGAACCGTACCTTTAGCTGCAGTTGAGTCTGTAAAATAAGGCATCACAAAAATCCAAAGTATGAAAAACATGTGTATTTCCATTATCGTACACGTGAGAAGTAAAATAAGCAAGGTTATAAAAAAAATCTGATAAGCACTGTCAGTTTTGTTCATAATCTGATTTTATAATGGATTTACTTTGTGGGTTTGTTTTAATATTCATCAGAATAATTGGACTTTCTTATCCTATTGAATTCAATATGCAGTTAAGTCAATTATGGAATTAAAATGATAGCATGAAAACATAACTGACATTAATGTAAACAAGCCACTCACCTGTATTTTATAATTTACAAAATTAGTTTATTTTTCTCTCATAGACAAGATGAAGGTCACTCTGGGCAAAAAGTGTTCATCATAGCAAAAAAATATATAAAAGGGCCAGCTATAAATACACAGCATGCATGTTTTATCTAAACAGGTCATCTGAGATAAATGTGCTTTATCACAACTAATATATATGGTTTATTTGTTCTACATGAAGAAACTTAAAGAGAACAGATTATAATTGTTTTTAGTCAATTCAGCTAAGTAATAAAGATAAAGTTTTATTGCAGTGCATAAAACCAAGGAGAAACCATATAGGTCCATTCTGTAAAAATACATGAAAAACAAAGCAAAACAATAGGTTCAAAAAAAGCGATTCAAAATGTCAAATTACAAACAATGTTGAAACCATGAAATCTACTTAATGTGATATACAGTTTATATGCACTTAATTGTCTACAGCCATGTGTAAGTGTTGTCTTATATTTTGTGCTCAATTATGGTGTTTTATTTGACATCACCATCATGACGAAAAGTGTCTTTGCACAATAGCAGGTCCAGCCTCAGCTAGGGTCAGTCTGAGTCTTAGTATCGCAAGTCTTAGTACTGCATAACTTCATATTGCTCCTGCAAAGCAGTATCACTTATTATTTATTAATTTATTTGTTTTTTAAATGCCACATTTGTATACTTACAGTTTTGGTTTGAAGCAAACACAGGGGGTGTAATTCATTGGAAAGCACCCATTAGGTTTTATCTTATTTTACTTCAAGTACACTAGTAAACAGTAAAGTGAGGGGGAAAAACATAGTAATTAATCATTCCTTCCCATTAACATGAAGCAAAGAAAGCTCTGTTGTTTTTGCTGGGATGTTTAAAATATATGTACCCTCTGACTTTTGCACTTATTGTGTCCAGAAAAACCATTTTAATTAGCATTGTTGTTTTCATTAAGACTTATTTTACATACACAATATGCAAAGACTATAAACTTAAAAATCATAATTTTATTTATTTACAACATGCAATTTACATCTGCATTACACTACAGAAAATAGTGTTGCCATATTGACCATTTGCCAGTGTCCAATGATCAATACTCTACATGCAGTGCATTTAAGTACTGAAGCTTGAAGGAATAGTTCACCCAAAAATGAAAATTTACTGAAAATTAACTTTTAATTAGCATTTTTTAAATTTTTGATTCAAAACTTTGATGGCATCAGGCCATCCAAGATGTAGATGACTTTGTTTCTTCATCAGAACTGATTTGGAGGTAAACTGATGGAGTACATGTCTGTTTGAAGTAAAGCCCTACAACATCCAATATGTATTTTTTCCCCCTATTTAGATCCTGTTATTTAATCCAGTTACTTCATGTGCAGTGTGAAAATAATTACAGGTCAGTTATTTTTTTAAGTGCTTCTCAATCCAGTGGTGATCCGTACACTTCAACCTCACACAGTGTAAGATATTCTTGCCGTCCAGGAATAACAACATTAATGTAACGTCCTTCCATCCCATCACATTCAAAGGTGGAGGAAAAACCAGGAGGAATGGAAGAGATCACAGCACACCTGAAGAAAAGGAGAGGTAAGCATCTTGAGAAATTTTGAAATACCATCCACATACAAAGCAGCTACACTGTAGCAAGTCAGTGTAATTAAACGCAAGTGATGAAAAAAAAAAAACACAATATTGTACCCGTTTGTAACCCAGTTATATGTTACTCTTTTAGCATACTACAGTAAATTCTAAATGTATTTAAAGAAAAATAAAGAGATTTAGAGCTGAATTCACTTACCTGGGATTGTTATTGCCGTTGTTGTCCAGACTGTTTCCAATTCTGATTTCTGCCCCATTTAATCTTTCAGGAACATTGTCTACTGTGTTTGTAATTACTACTGAAAACACTTTGTGCCTTTTCAGTAGGTCCAGTCTCCACCAGGGATTGAGGTCATTTACAGTATGGGTACAGGATCCATGACCGTAAACACCATCTTTGTTCCCATCAATGGCATTGGATGCAAAGCCGTTTCCATAGAGGGAAATCTGTGTAGCTCTCCCTTGTAAAGCCACATTTTCACCTAAAACAACAGATGAGTTCCAAGTGAAAGAACAAAGAACTTGTCTTACAATCTAGAGATGGAATACATGACAACATCGCTTTATTGAATTTTTTGTTGTTTTTGAATAAAAAGATTATAGTAAGCATTCTCTCTTTTGATTAATTACTTTTATCAGAGCTACACTGTTTAAATCCTTCTCACCATCAGGAGCTGGATAACCATAAACCTCGACCTCGCAGAGGGTAAGAAGTCGATTAGATCCAGGTATGACCACATTGATGTAACGGCCTGGAATGCCTTTCTTCCATTTGAAAGTGAGGGATCTCCCACCTGGAATGGATGAAATCTTTCCAGCCCTGTATTAAAACAACAGCAGATGAACAGTGTGTGATCGTGTGTATGTAACCTCATCACATTGTTCTTTTAAAATAGTTGTAGTGTAGTTTTCTTACAAAGGATTGCTGTTGCCGTTGTTCAGCAGAGAGTTCCCAATGTGTATCTCAGCTCCATCAAGCCTTTCAGGACAGCAGTCTTTTCGGTTGGTGATAGTTATGGAGGTCACTACATACTTGTCTAGTAAATCTAACCTCCACCATGGGTCATTTTGCATTGTAGTAGCAGTACAGGATCCATGTTCAAAATTAGAGTCACGATTACCATCAGCAGCATTAATGGCATGGCCATTTGCTGACCAAGGATTCTCAACCAGGTCTGATTGTGTGGCCTTGCCATATAAAGCAAGATTTCTGGCTGAAATTGAAAAAGCACTATAGTCAAAAGTTATTTATGTGTTTTGTGCGTATATATATTTTCTATATAGACACATATTAAGTGTATAACTACTGAAAACTATTAAATAGTTCCATCATTATTGGCAACGACACAACAGTTCAAGACAAAGTCCTTTTAGGATAATATGCAGCAACCTTAATATATTTACAATGTAACTATAAAAATGTAAACAAACATTTATGCAAGACAAAGCAATTATTAAAATAGTTTAAAAGTAATACCAAAATATGAAACAAGTGTCTAATGTATTGCTAAGTCTGTATTTTCAAAACAAACCAACTTTACCTTTAGCTGTAGTTGTGTCTGTAAAACAAGGCACCACAAAAGTACAAAGCAGGAAAAACACATGCATGTCCATTGCTCTGCAAATGAGAAGTAAATCAAATCAGAAAAATACCAAGCTTCTAAACAAATTAAGCTTTTAGTTGCTGTTTTTTGCCTTTATTATGATAGGATAGTTTAGAGCTGAAAGGAAGCGAAGTAGGAGAGAGAGAGAGAGGGGCAGGATTCGAGTTCGAGACGCCCCTAGCGCAACGGTGCTGTATGTCAGCTCCATGCGGCAACCTCCCGCTCGCTCTCGTGAAGCCAACAAGGAAATGACTTAAACTGTAATTCATCAACTGGCCGCTAGAGGCTGGCTGCAAAAGGGAGTCAATCCCATAGACTCCCCATGTTAAAATGCCCAACTTCACAGCAGAAAAAAACATGTTTACAGCCTGGTTCATTCAAAAACGCTCTTCGGAAATCTACGGGTGACGTCACGGACACGACGTCCGTGTTTTTATACAGTCTATGGTCAGCGCCCTGCCCACAAGCCAAGGCTATCGCCGCCGCCGACTTATATTCCCATTTTATAATGCAATTAATATAAGGGTTTTAAGATGAACAGAATGTAATTGGATTAACTTAAGTCATTTAAAATATCATTAAATGAGAACATGTACATGAAAAAAAAGTTTGACAAGTGCCATGTATAATAAGTTCACAGCAATGAAATATTGACTTTGGTTTTGACATTTTTAAAAACAAGTTTAATTGACCCACCTGTATTTTAAAAACTCAAGTATAAGGTTCTCTCAAAGACAAGATGAAGTTCAATCTATGGGCAAAAAGTGCTCATCGTTACACAACACCAAGGGGCCAGCTGTATTTAAATAACATTTAAAGGTGTGGATGTTTTATCTCTAAATCATCTGCTATAAATGTGGCATATCACAACTGTGATGCATTTTATGAGATATGTTTAGTAATTTATACATTTGCAGCAAAACTAAGGGAATAGATGTGATTCTTTGCTGTTTACACATATACAGTATTTAAGTTATGCACAGTGCAAGTGGACAAAGGATGAAAAGGTGTGATAAAAAGATAAAACACAGTTAAGAACAGCTAGCTGAAAAGAACTGACATGATGAAATAAAAGTTTTAAATGGACATATCCTCACTTACATGTGACAAACAAAATCATAGCATTTCTTGAAGGAAATACAAGTGCTTGCAAAGAGAGCAACTGAAAGATGGTAATGGGTTTTGTTGCTGTTGTTGCTTTTAATTGTAGAAAATTGTTAATTTTTTAATTCTGTGCTGCCTTTCAAGTAGAGGCTCTAGTCTATATACAGGGTTTGGATAATGAATTATAAAGAACTATTACATCACATTCAGTTTTACAGACCTTACCTTTGAACGGAACCTTTAGCCTTTGGCTGGCCCCTTCCCTGTATCTTATCTACAGCCTACTTCTAAAGAACTCTCTTGCAATCATTCATGAAACTGGGCCTTATAGCTTCTCAAACTGGCCTTTTACATATTGTTTTTGAGTTTGTGCACTAACGAATGATCTGTTTTGAACAAATGCATGTAAACTAATTAATGTCTAAAATTAACATTAAATAGAATGAACGTGGTTATGTACATTCATTTTTGTTTAAAATTCTATCATTTTGCATTAATTTAAACCGTTTGATAACTTACTGATTACAAAATTGTACTAAAACATAATTTCTCTGCAAAAATAAATAAATATATAAATGGTTTCAAAGAAAAATGAATTACTAAATGTATGCTTTATGAAAATGATTGTGTAAAACCGTTGGATCATTAAAGAGCCAAGATAGTCTCTAGGTGACCTTGTATTGTCAATAGACAGAAGCAGCAGTCAGAGTTTAGAGAGGTACAAAGGTAATGTATTTCATGCCTACACTGCCATACATAGGCAAAACAAAGTAATTACACATTTTGTCAAGAATGAGTTGACTGAATGTCTGAAAATCGGGTCTCTTTTATATAATATGGCCTGTGATCGATGAGTTTGACTTGATTATGCTCATATTAAGAGAGTACAAATATTGTGAAAAGTGTCATTGAAAGTGAAAAAGACATTACAATCTACGATGACCTGGAATGCTGGGAATCCTTTAAACGCTGAGTAATAAAAGCATAATTATTCTGAGAAATTTAGTTTAAATAAAATTATAACATAACCATAATGGCTCTGTCAAGTCAATATGATTAGCTTAAGAATAACAGAATGCTGCCTTGTGTCATATTTGGAAAAAGAATAAAAGATTATATGCCTGAAAACATAAGTCTGATGGAATAGCAAACAAGCTTCAATAAACGTATAGGTAATTACAGGACGTTTTTTTACAGGACGTTTTGATGCATTACTGTGCCCCCCCAAATAGACATTATTAATAATGTCCAATCAACAGTGATTGGAATGTAGTTTGTTAATAGCTATAACATTTTTTTTATAGATATTTAAGTTAAATTAACATATTACAGTGGGTTGCTGTAGCCATTTTCTTGAGCTCAATCATCTCAGGGCTTCTGATGGTGATGGTCATATGGTATTGGAAGAGTATGTCTTTAGCCAATCTGAGTACAAGAGAAGTAGGCTATAAATCAAGGTAAAATAGAAGTAATAGAAAAAAAAATTGTGCAATATTCATATAGGGAACAGTAAAGGGAACAGTTAACACCCATAGTTACCACTAGATGGCACTATTATGCCAATAATCTGTCTGTCTTGTGCTACTGGACATTACAAAATACAAAATGATTACTGGCTGTTGTGAATTCTTCCCTTTAAGTTTAAGACTTGCGATCTGCGTGATGTTTCAGTAATGACTTACGTAAATAACGTAGTGCAGGGTTCACAGCATGTACGGTCTCAGCGGAACTGCCTATTCACTAAGTTACTTCAGCACGGCAGTCATACTGCGTGCTCTTACACAGGTGCAGCGTTTATGTGCAAGAGAAAGTGCGTGACAAAGTGAGTTACTTCGATGTATATTGTTAATTACCTAGATTATTACAGTGTACCACAATTGTGTTAACTTCGACAGTGTTTATGATGTTATTGAAGTTTAGCGATCTTTCTGAGTGTAATTTGATCCTGTTTAATGAGCGGCTTAGCCCCGTTACCATCGCAGTGTGCATTGTTCATGTTTACAACTGTATTCCATTTAAGGGTAAAATTTTTATGGTGATAATACCTTTCAACGACCATTATTACTACCATCTGTATGAATGATACAGTCCCATTTCTATATATAACTTATATTTCATTGTTTGTAATCTTGCTATGCAGATTGTTATTCTCGCAGAGATATTGCTGATATATTTCTCAGTTTATATTCTATTTATCAGTGCACTTTATTGTTTGTTTATTATACAGTTTGTGATATGTTGAGTCATTGGTTATATTTGAACAATGAAACATTTAGAGAATTCCCTTTATTACCCATTTGCTGCTCAAATGTGGGGGCGGCTGTTGTGAATTCTTCCCTTTAAGTTTAAGACTTGCGATCTGCGTGATGTTTCAGTAATGACTTACGTAAATAACGTAGTGCAGGGTTCACCGCATGTACGGTCTTAGCGTAACTGCCTATTCACTAAGTTACCTCAGCACGGCAGTCATACTGCGTCCTCTCACACAGGTGCAGCGTTTATGTGCAAGAGAAAGTGCGTGACAAAGTGAGTTACTTCGATGTATATTGTTAATTACCTAGATTATTACAGTGTACCACAATTGTGTTAACTTCGACAGTGTTTATGATGTTATTGAAGTTTAGCGATCTTTCTGAGTGTAATTTGATCCTGTTTAACGAGCGGCTTAGCCCGTTAGCATCGCAGTGTGCATTGTTCATGTTTACAACTGTATTACATTTAAGGGTAACATTTTTATGGTGATAATACCTTTCAACGACCATTATTACTACCATCTGTATTAATGATACAGTCGCATTTCTATATATAACTTATATTTCATTGTTTGTAATCTTACTATGCAGATTGTTATTCTCGCAGAGATATTGCTGATATATTTATCAGTTTATATTCTATTTATCAGTGCACTTTATTGTTTGTTTATTATACAGTTTGTGATATGTTGAGTCATTGGTTATATTTGAACAATGAATATTTATATCTGTTGTTTTATTTATTTCAGAAACTACCTCAAATACACTAACATGTGTATATGGTCAAATCTTGTGCAATAAACGGTCAAACTCAATATGATGACTCGACTCCCTGACAAGAGTTCTGCAGCGGTCAATAATTATTAACCAGCATTCAGTGGGGCAGTCCCCAACACTGGCTCTAACTTCTCAACCTTTTTTACTCCGGGGCCCCCCTCCTTCTCGGGTCAGTTTTGCAAGGCCCCCCAATGCCTGACATACTTCCACAGCAAAGAGAAAAGTGTTTATTTTTAAACCCTTTTTATTAACCAAAACATTTGTTTTGCCTTATTCTTCTTATACTGCATGCTATATATATATAAAAAAAAACACTCAAAATTAAAATGTTTCAATGTTTTTATTAAATTCACATTAAATACAAAGTCAGTCGTATTAAAAATATTTTATGGTATGACACCCATATCTGGTATTTAAGTAAAAAGACGGATTTTTATGCATAGTTAATAGATTAAGTTACACTATTAGGCTACTTTTCCCATCGCCCATTATAGATCAACTAACATTATCTATAAAAAATAATGAGCCCCTCAAAAATAATGAGTGCATGATGTCCCTGACACTACAATACAAAATTATTTCAAATAAATTAAACATGATGAAACATTCGTTTTAGTTTAAATTGTTATAGCTTACTTCTAGATTGCAGTGATACATGATATGGTGAAAAATGACTGAATTAATAATACTTAAAGTAGGTTAAGATGAACTTTAAAATTGTGCCCCCTAAAAGCACAAGTGGCCTCCTGTCTGTTCAGTCTGTTTTTAACCGAGTCCGAAGCAATCAATCACAGAACACGAGAGAGGCCGTGCTTTGATCATTTTAACATAACACATTAATAATGAAATTAAACAATTATAGGATAATATTTAAATTAATTTTAAGCTATCTCGCGGCTCCCCTGGAGGATCACTGAGGCCCCCTAGTGGGCTGCGGCTGATGAGAACCCCTGCTCTAACTTCACTTCCATAATGTGCATTAAATGGTATTTGTTATAATTTTAATTTGCATCGATTTAAAATGTTTTGTATGCGGTATCAGGATTACGAGTTCTGCCAAATTATATTTTAATCTAAATTTTATGAATTGTATATCATTTTGAGAAGAAAAATAGAATATATTCTTTGTGCGAAAATCTCGTTTGGTTTGTACACAATGACATCTCGCGAGAGTTCCCTCAACCAACGACGCTTGCGTCGACCGTTGCGCAGGCGCAGTGCTGTTTTAAAACATTTTCCACGGACTAGCCTCTATCGCTAATAAAGAAACAATGGCGACAGCGGCGACTGCAGCGGGCGGAACGGGCTCCGGCGGACCATCGGCTGGCCAGGCGGGCGCCGGTTCCTCGATCGGACGGAAAAAAGACGGAGGGCCTTCTTCCAAATTTTGGGAGAGCTCGGAAACGGTGTCCCAGCTGGAGACAGTTCGGCTGTGGATCGGGAAACATTATAAGAAGGTCTGCGGCTCATGAGGCGCCCGTTGAATGGGGGCGCGCGCGCGCATCACACAATAGCTACAAGAAGCGGCACGCGTGCTTGCGTGTAGTTTATTTGCTATTATATTCGATTTTTTTGAAAGGGTCGAATCAGAGCGGTGGTGCAGATGTTGTTTTGGTTCCAGGCTGGCATTTTAGTCAGCAAGTTTTGCTCTTGTGTTAATTAAAGCGGCAGTGTTGTGGGCTGTCGAGTTAGCTTGCTCGCTAACGATAGCGACTGAGATGCGCGATCTGCCATAATAATGACTGAGTCTTAAAATATGCCAAATTACTGTCTTCATTTGCAACATTTTTGGGCTATGCTCTCTTTTGAATAAACTCCACTGCATTTAATGTCAGATGACTCTTGGTGGTTCTCGCCACAATGCTTCGGTTGTTTGTGCTGAAGTTTGTTTACTGATTCTCTAATGTTGATTCATTAGATGTTCTGGTGGTACCATGATTCACTAATGGTATAATATTAGGTACATACATATGGTACTGAATGATTAACACTGTGACCCATCATTGTGTTTAAATGGTAGCCAAAGGTATGTCAAGAATACCATGGTATTTACAACGGTACTGTGTCCATTTAAACCATGCAACTTTTGTTAGTGTTTTAGCTTTGTGGCAGAGATAAAAACGTGTGTATGTTGTTTAAAATCAAGTGTGAGGGTTTTTCTTTGGCAGATATTTGTTGGCACTGGATGATTTCACCCTTACTCTGTATTGTCCAGTTATAGTCTCCTGTAATGCACTTTTGTGAATGAAGTTTATGTATTATGCATGTTCAGAATTATTTCTTCAGATTAGATTGTAATGATTGCTAGAAGCAGAACTTGAGGGTATTTTTGTTTTTGTGTGATTACTGAAAACACCAACATAAATATCCAATACTTGGAGTTTTCTAATTGATTTTCTGGTATTTATTGTGGCTCTTCATTTTTCTGCAGTATGTCCAAACCGACTCTCCTACATGCAAAACTTTGGCTGCGCTGGTGGTGCAGTTGCTGCAGTTTCAGGAGGATGCATTTGGGCGTAGAGTCAGCAATCCTGCCCTTACCAAACTACCCGTAAGTCTGGATTTGCAGTGTTTACACTTCTTGTTCTTCACGTTCCCACTCTATAGCACTTTTACTCCTCTTCAAAACATAACTGAAGATAGTCTCCTCATTGAAAGTCCATTCATCCAAAGTTCATAAAACATAAGTAAATGCAATCCATGTGAACTGAGTAGTTCAAATGAAGACAAAATCACTTTAAGGTGAACAGATTTAAACCACTCCAATAATATGGATTCCTTTTATAACCTCTGTGAAATGTTTGAACATTACTATCTTCATTTGTGTTTCGAAGATGAATGAAAGTCTTATGGATGTGGAAAGACGTGAGGTTGAGTAACTGACAGAGTTTTCATTTTTAGGTGAATTATCCCTTAAATCTGCTCTTTCGTTCATGCCCCTCTATACTAAAATTTATTGTTTCACATGTGACACAGTACAAGTACAGTGCCTTGTTCTTATGGTACAATTCTTCAGAAATGTGTACATTTGTATTTGAACACCAATGGGAAATTTTGTTAAGTCATTTGTCATTCTAGGCAAAGAGCTTTCTCGATTTCAAACCCGGAGGAGCCCTTTGCCACATTCTGGGTTCTGCATACAAGTTCAAAAGCGAGCAGGGCTGGTGAGTAGAATCTCAGAAAGGTGTGAAAGTTGGAACAATGCATGCAATGACAAAAATGACAAAAACTTCAGTGAAGTAATACTTAAAAGCTCATGCTAATATGTTAAATATTGGTGTGCCTGTCTTTCTTCAGGAGGAGGTTTGATCTGCAGAACCCATCCAGAATGGATAGAAACGTGGAGATGTTCATGACTATTGAGAAGACTCTTGTTCAGGTAGAGATCTATGTGCTGTGGTCTATAAATTTAAATATATACTAGGACTCATTGTGAATGTACTTTATTGATTTAGTCACATTTGGTTCTCCCAGTCCTGAATATGTAATGTTCTCTGTATGTGATAATGCATATCTCATTCTTCCCTGCAGAACAACTCTTTGACCCGACCAATTGTATACATTGTGTCTGACATGGAGCAAAAGCAAGCCAACAAGCTCAAAGACATCATCAAGAGACATCAGGTAAAAAAAAAAAAAGAAAGAAAGAATTGATTAGGTTGTTAAAATTCCATCTTGTGTTTTTTTGCACTTCTCTGATGTTTGTGTTTCACTCAAACTTCTAGGGCACCATCACTGAAGATAAATCAAAGGCCACTCATATTATTTACTCCTCCCCAGCCCAGATTGAAGAAGGTTGGTGTTTGATTTTTATAACAAAAGATGGGTGAACAAAATTTCCTCAATCATTTTGTTTAATTGGACATTATATTTGGTGTTTTCTTGAACTTACCTTTTGAATTCTGCTTCTGCCTTTCAGAGGAATGGCTACGTCCTGTCATGCGCAAAGACAAGCAAGTTTTGGTTCACTGGGGTAATTACCCTGACAGGTTGGTTGGGTATATTTGCACACATACTGTATGTTTGTGTGAAACGGAAAGATTCATTCTAAATTAAATGATAAATGATATTATTTAACTCTGCAGTTATGATACATGGGTATCAACAAGTGATGTGGATGGAGATGTTGAGGATCCACCAAGTTCTGAGAAACCATGGAGGGTAAGGGGATCTGTAAATGTTTTGATATGTTTCCTAATTCGCAGTTTTACAATAAACACTTTTTTACAATATGAAGCATAATTAGGGATGTCACGATTCACTCAACTCTCGATTCGATTCACGATTTTGATTTCACGATTCGATTCACGATTTTTTTTAACAAAATGAGATTTAAGACAAATTATAAATAAAATGTGTTTTCATACGCGTTTGGCCAATCAATGTCTACTTGCGTCACGATTAGTACCAGTTGTAAATAAATAAATAACACAAAATAAATCTCTTCGTATAAACAAAATAAGGCTTTGTCTGTGCTCTTTCCATTTAAAATTAGAGGCAACCACTGCATTTTAATCATGATCCAAACAAAGATGCTGCATACATGCCACATGAGCAGTTTTTAATCTAAATTAGATTGTATAATTTCGAAATTTGAAGCAAAAACAGAATGGTTTGACTTCAGTTTTGTGAAACTATACATAAAAAATATCTGCATGAAACAGAAACAGCAGACGAGCTGAATGAGATGCAGATTCACTCTCTGCCAGCATGTTTTCTCAGTACGTTCTACAATCCCCTCAGGTGCATGCTAAATGGGTCATCGACACAGATGCTTTCAACGAGTGGATGAATGAGGAAGATTACGAAGTGGATGAGAACAAGAAGCCTGTGAGTTTCCGCCAGCGGATCTTCCCAGGGGAGGAAGTGGTAAGAGACCCAAAGACACGAGCGCTAAAGAAATAGATATGGTGCGTGTTCAGATTTCCGTTGTGTTGCTAAGCCAGACCCTTTGAGGTCTAGGCAGGGTTTGTTCTGTCACTGTCTGCGTGTCTGTCAATCATCCTCTAAAGCTCTTCCTTGCTGCCTCACCCTCACGTACCTCACCCCACCACCCAAATATCCCCTCAGGGCCCCCCTCCCCTTTGTGTGTAAGACTGTTCCATTCTCTCATTCTCTCGCTCTTTCTCTCATCCTCCACCCCTCCATGGTTCTGATCAGTCTTCCCGTACACCCGATCGTAAGGACCGCAAGTCCCTGGTTGCCGGCAAGAAGAGGAGACGCTCTCCATCCCCACCCAGCACCCCTGCAGAGTCCCGCAAAAAGGGCAAGAAAGGGTAACTATCTTGTTGGAGTCTGATAAATACATTTAAGCGCAACAGTTTAAATGTTTGGGTTCGGTAAAATTTTTTAAATGTTTTTTAAAGAAGTCTCTAATGCTCACCAAGGCTGGTTGTATTCACTAAAAAATACAGTAAAAACAGGAATATTATGAAATATTATTACAGTTTTAAATAATTGATTTCTATTTCAGTTTAAGATGTTTTAATTTATTTTTTGTGATGACAACGCTGATTTTTTCAGCTGCCATTACTCCAGTCCTCAGAGTCACATGATCCTTCAGAAATCCTTCTAATATGTTAATTTACTGCTTTTTATGCGAGAAACATTTCTTGTATAAAACGTACTTAGTCATGATCATTTTAAATGTAGCAGTCTCATTCATTAATTTACCTCAAACAGGAATCCTGGATCACAGGGGAGACGCCGTGGACATCAAAATGATGACGAGCAGGATGAAGACCTCACAAAGGACCTGGAAGATCCCTCCCCTGTACCAGGAATGGAGGAAGTTACATTGCCAAAGAATGGTCAGTCTTCTTGATTAATGGTCCCTTATTTGAACAGGTGTTTTTTTTTTTAACCGTGCAAGGGATAATCAGAGCTACTGCCATTGTACACTACGGCTGTCAAAATGGCTGAAAAACTAAATTCGAATTTTGTACTTAAATATTATCAAAATTCGAATTATATTCGAATTTAAAATGCATAATTTCAGTTAGGGTGAAGAAAAGCGTTTGGCTTCTCTCCTGAGGCCACAAGAGGGTGCATCATTCAAAGCATAAGATAACATGACTATCTGCGAAAAAAAAGTGCATAATGGTTAAAATAATGTTTATAAACCAATTATAATTAAGTTGCTTAAACAACTATAAACAAAACATCATCGTGTATGTATGCATAGTTTAATACAAAGAGCGGAAAGCCAATCACACAGTACATTTTTCATTTAAAAACATGAGATGCAGTGGGATGGGGAAAACCCCGCCATAAAGTCTCGATATATGTTTTTTTCAAAGTTAAACTTGCATTAATTTTACATGGCTTTCTAAACATGCGGCTCCTTTGTGCGAGACGCGAGTGCAACAGTAATAAATGTCCATCTAGAAAATGCGTTCTGTGTGAACGGCTTGGTTTCGGTTTTGATGTAAACAAGATCTTCTCCACATTGATGTTCTCTTTTTCCGCTATATTTTTAATGAACAACGCAGCAGCGCCGAATCTATTGACTTCAACTGGATAGGCTAACAAAAACATTATAATGCAACGACACTTACATCGTCATCGCATCTCGTGCGCCGTTGATAAGGCTGCCTCCTTAACACCTACAATTCGAATGCAACGTTTTTGCATTCGAATGTGGATTTTTATTTTAAATTCGACGAATATTCGAAATT